CTGCCTGTTGATACATAAATGGTTGTCGATGCTTATTTGGGTGCATTCTATCCCCCGGAAACATATTTGATTGTTGCATGCTTTCACCATACACATGTCCATGATACATATGTCTATGTGGTCGCTCATAACGTGGTTCAAAAGAATTCATACGCAAATCTGCTTCTTTTTTTTTGTTTTTACGTGACTTCGAAGATCTGCAGCACTAATATAAAAATGGAAAACACACCAGATATATAAAGTTATATTTATTTCACAATTATGAATTCAAAATAATGTAATCTATAAAATTTTTTATTTATATTATATTTTTCTTTAAATCGAATTATTATTTACCTTAATACATATGTACTGAAAAAATAAGATTAAGACAATAAGTGTAACTAGGGGAACTACAATTCCTAGATAATATTGTCCACAATATTGTTTGTATTCTTGTAAAATAGCTGTGCATAATGGACACAATTTATCATTAACTTTTGTCAAAAGTTGATATGCTTCAGTACCTCCATTATCTCCATTTGTTCGATGGGTGCAGTCCGTACCTTCTTCCCCACGACCTTCTGATTGTGCCATTGCAACAGTAAATTGTAATATGAATAACTTATATATTCCTATTAATTTAATAAAACTTAGCAAACACATATTATGGGTTAAAGTCAAGGGTAAATTAAATAACTTAGATAACAATGCATGTATGGAACAGATGTTACATTTTTTCAGTTTTCTAGCAGTTTCTATGTAACTATCACTATTATGCTCACATAATATAGTACCCTTAATATATACTGATTGATACGTGCTTCTATTGCATTTTTCGGATGATTTTTTATGGTTTTCTATTTTTTTCTTCATATTATTGTTTATATCATAGTTCATAATAATATAATATTAGAGATGCTTAATTTATATTCATTTACATACATAATATTGGGCTCTAAAAAGTATATGCCCTATTTGAATTACGAAAAAACCTATTGAGCTAATACATATTGGTGCCTTTCTATAAAATATAATTAGATATACCTACATGTACCGATTTTGTATAGGGAAATTACATTGAATAATGACTTATGTTGCAATCAGCATAAATAAATCATCACGTCTATTAATAAAAAAGTTATAGCGATTTTATAAATCCCATATCGAAATAATATTGCATTTAGTATTAGAAAACGAATGTTACAGAAATGATGTTTTAAAAAAAAAATTTTTTTTACGCTATAAATGTTTTCCAAAAGTACTTAAATTATACCTTTACTATTATACATTCTGAAATATGACTTTACATATAAATAATATATAATTTATGTGGGATAAAATAACATTTAATATAGATTAATACTTCGAAATTTGCAGTCAATAAAAAATTTTGTCATAAAAAAAAAAAATTTTACATAAGCAAAATATATATATAATTTTAAGTAAAATGTATTAAAATGCTGAACTCTTTTTTATGCACTACGAATCATGATGAATTTTATACCATTTTTGTAGATAAAAAAATAGATAAAACAACAAAAATTGCATTGCATGTTTAAAAAATAACATTTCATAAATTAATACATCTAAAAAAAAAAAAAAATATACATACGTCTTTAATTATGAGTTCCTTTTAGATAATTTTATGTCCATATTTTAAATCACTATAAAATGTTTGTAAAAACGTAAGATATAAAATTTTCTCAGGAATAGTAAATTTAAAAAATATCCAAAATGTGTTATAAATTATAAAATGTACTCTTTAACACATATAGTACGAATATAAGGAAATAAAATAAAACATACGATAAAAGATTATTAAAGAATTTATTAAGAATTTTTTTTCTCATTCATATGAACTTTTCGTTTAAACTACTCTTTTATACTTTGATTGATTATCATCTAATTTATGGTTTTCTGTATGGTTATTATGTTTAAACTTTGTAAATAATCGAGTTTATCATATTTTATTAATTGAAATATTCTTATGTTATTAAAGAAATTATAAAATAAAAAAAATATAGTTTTTACTATGCGTTTCTTTTTATTAGATTTTAATAAAGGAATCTTATGTTTCATATGACATATATATATACCAGTATGTTGTGAGTTAATTCTGTGTTTTTCCACAATTTACAAAATAGTATTGGATATATTAGCTGATTATTAAAGTTATTCATAGTTTCTTTTATTTATATGCTAAATATAGATACTTAAATCAGAAAAAAAGGACTTTTATTCACACAGAGCTTACATATCATTTATTCCAATGTCAATGAAAAATAATACATAATATTGTTATATTGTAAACCAATAATAAAATGATGTTTAAAGCTTTAAAATATTTGAGGTTAACAGGTTAATTTGTAATTTATATATTTTAAAATACGTTAAGTATTACATATAATAAATGAGGAATTTTAAAGGAAAAAAATAATATTTATAACTACTTTTTTTTTTTTTTTTTTTGTTGATTGAACAATATGTAGAATTAAACTTTAAAGAGGATGATGAAATAATTTATGGGAAATTAATAAAAATTATTGTAAGTTTACAAAGATATTATTATCCAGTGTTAAGCTACATTTACTAAAAATTGTGTTTTAGACAATGTATAGAATACTTGTTAGATTTTTTATTTATTTTTCCTATACTCATTATTTAACAAATAAATATTCATGTAGTTTTAGTTTATTTATAAGTTATATATTTCGTTTTATAAATTATTGTGTATTATGTATAAGGAAAACAGAATAATAGACTTTCAATCAAATTATTTCTTTACATTTTTTATTTTATTTCTTCAAAGGATATTTATTCTAAAAAAGCATCAAAATGTATATTCACCTTATAACTACCTATATTACTACACAATATTCCCTTAAAATTTAAAATACACATTATTCTTGAATTACATTATTTATTGTATTATTACTTTATCAGGAGACATTGCAAAATATTCCCGTTAGGGTTACACCCATAACCAAAGGAAAATTAAGTGCTACTTAAAAATTAAAATATACCATTTGATTGCCATTTACCTAAATTATTGCAAAATATATTTATATTTAGGAATATATTTTTGTATTATATAATATATGCAATGCAATTTTTTATTTGAACATTATTATTCATTAATTTATTAATTAATCCTGCTACTTGTTCATAACTTTATAATTTTATTATTTTCCTTATTAGATTTAATGTACAACTTGAGTATTATTTTAATTTATTTAAAATGTTATTAATTTAATATTATGATTCTTGCATTGTTCTATAAGGCGACCTCTTTAAGTTTACATAGTTCTGATAATAACTACGTAATAATAATGTTCCATTAAAATTTTGATGTTTACGAAAAAAACTTTTTTTAAATTTTTTGGAAAAAGACACCGTTAGGTTATATGGAAAAAAAAATATATATATACAATTAACACACATGGCATAACAATTTCATTAAAAAGCATGAACACAAAATGATTAACATTTATGAAGTATTTCTTATATTATATGTTCATTTTCCATATATGTGAAATATATTAAGGAGTGAATGTAATATTTTAATTTTTTCCCTTTGTTTTAAGCGTGTCTAAACCTTTTTT